TCCACACTTTGCCCCCATCCTGTGGCCCCGCCCGGTGGCACGGCTCTGACACGGGATGGGGCCGGAGCAGGGATTGGGAAGCTCTGGGGACGGGTACATTTTGCACATGACTGCTCAGGAAACCAGGGATGGAGCCGGCAAAGGGGGCTGGGGGCAAGCACGGGGCAGGGACCCCCCCTGCAACACCCCCAGCACTGCTGGCAGCCGGAGTGGCTGATGCTGCTGCGGAGAAATGTCTGGATGGGCCAGGGTGAATCTTGGCTGCTGGGCCAGGGGTCGACTGTGGGACAGAGATTGGCCATGGAATGGAGATAGGCTGTTGGATGGAGATCGGCCGTGGGATGGAAAATGGCCATGGGATGGAGATCCTCATTTTTGTGGCCAGAGGAATGGGCTCTTCCTGGCCGAGTGCTCGTCCCTGGCCACTCGCTCCCTGCTCCCTCTGGCTGCGGCTGTCCCACTGGGAAGGCAGTGGGGTCCCGGGAAGAGCCCGGCCGACGGGACAGCCCTGCCCCGGGGCGGGGGCCGCCAAGGTGCCAACTATGGAATGTTGTACTTTTAATCTCGCCAGCTTGGTAAAGTGCTCCCTGCTGCCTGTGTGTGCCTGTGCTTCCTGGGGCTGCCGAGGGACAGGGATGGGTGCGGGGTGGGGAGAGGGGGGGCAACGCCATGAACACCCCTCGGGAGTGTTCCCGAGGGGACACCGGCCCCACCCGCGGGGGCCTCCCGCGGTGTCTGCAACGCACTCGTGTGTCCCCAGCGGCGCAGGGACACTGTGGGGTGTCGGGGACAGGCCACGGCGGGGGCTGGGGATGGTGTGAGGGGCTGGGGATGGACTTTTTTTATTCCAGGGGGCAGGTGGGATGGGTGAGGGGACAGCTCAGTGTGCCAGGGACAGCCCCGGCATTGGGGGACGGGGGACACGCCGGGGTGGGTGCTGGGAACGGCGGGGTGGTGGCGGTGGATTTGGGGTTCTGGGGGCAGGTGAGATGGGCGCTGGGGTCAACCCTGGGCTCTGGGGGCAGCCCGGAGTGAGCACCGGGGACATGCCGGGGTGGGCGCTGGGGACGGCGCCGGGAGAGGCTGTGGGATCGCGGGCAGCCCGGGGCCCGGGCAGCCATGGGGCCGGAGCAACCCGGGGCCCTGACGGCGGGGCGGGGCCGGAGGGGCGGGGCAGGGGCGGGGACCTTGATGGCGGCAAGATGGCGCCGAAAGGGAAAGGCGGTGGGAAGGCGGGCGGCAAAGCCGGCAAGGGTGAGGGAGCCGGGGCGGCACCGGGACGGGCCGCGGGGAGGGGGCCGGGGCGGCACCGGGACAGGTGGGGGACCGGGGCGACACCGGGACGGGACAGGTGGGGGACCGGGGCGACACCAGGACGGGGGGGGTGCGGGACCGGGGCCGCGCCGGTCTCAGGGCGCTCCGTTCACAGGCGGCGACAGCGGCGGCGGCAGCAGCAGCGAGGGCAAAGCGCAGGGCCCGAAGGGAGGCGGCAGCGCCGTGAAGGTGAGCGCGGGGGCCGGGCGGTGGGGGGGGGTGGTTTCCCCGCTCCTCCCCAGCACCCGGGCGCTCGTCCCGCTCGCCACAACCCCGCTCCGCTCCCCCTCCCAGGTCCGGCACATCCTGTGCGAGAAGCACGGCCGGGCCATGGAGGCCATGGAGAAGCTGAAGTCCGGGCAGCGCTTCAGCGAGGTGGCTGCGCAGTACAGCGAGGACAAGGCCAGGCAAGGGGTGGGTGCCGCACCCGGGGCAGGGCGGTGTGGCCGGGCAGCGCCTGCGGGAGCCCGGGCCCTGCTCGTCACCGCTGCCAGCACAGAGAACTGTCCTGTCCCACGGCCACGTCGCCCACCCTCCCTGCACTGAGAGTCTCAAAGCTTAACCCCGGCGGTTCCTTCCTGCAGGGGGACCTGGGCTGGATGAGCAGAGGCTCCATGGTGGGACCATTCCAGGAGGCAGCGTTTGCCCTGCCTGTGAGCAGCATGGACAAGCCCGTGTACACAGACCCTCCCGTCAAGACGAAGTTCGGGTACCACATTATCATGGTGGAAGGCAAGAAATAAAATGTGAATGACCATGACCTTGTTGACTGCTTGAATCCCGAGAGTTTCCCAGACACCTTGGCCTTGGAGCGAGTCAGGCACAACCAGCAGCATGCCTGGAGGCTGTCCCTGCCGCCGTGCTGGCAGAGCAGGGCCCTGCCTGGAGAGGTAAAGTGTCCCTGGAAAGGGTGAAACAAGAGCCTTTTGCAGTTGTTGAAGTCTGTGTTGTGTGGCAGGCCGGCCTTGTGCTTCTCCCATTGTGGAGACAGTGGTCTGTTAGCAGAAAAGCTCAGGCTTTTATCTGCCAACAGAAATGATGCAGAAAGGGACAGAGGGGTCCCCAGGGCTTGGTCTCCATCCCTGTCCTCCCCAGGAGGATGCAGACAGCTCCCATGGTACAGCTTGTGCTCCAGGGCTGGGGGACAGTCCCTCTGGCAGAGGGTAGGTGACACCAGGGCTGGCCCCAGGCAGTGGGTCAGGCCAGGCAGCAGCAAGGAAGAGAGCTGGGGGAAGGAGGGAAGGAGGAGCTCTCCTGAGCATAGACTGACCTGTACCTACAGCTACACCTTGCCCACTCAACGCTGGGGAAAGAAATTGAATGACTCAGGTTTGAATAAGAAAAAAGCCACTCAACGCTTGTGTCCCGCTTCCTGCGCTCCCCTACACTGGGCATGGGGTGCAGGTGGGGCAGCCCAGCAGGTTCCTGCCATGTCAGGGATATATCCCAGTGCTGTGATCCCCTTCCTGCCCACAGAGCCCCCAAACCAGCCGCAGCTCCAGCAACAGGCACTGGCTTTGTTCACAGGTGAGCACTGTGCACAGAGCTCGGAGGTGAGGAGGAGACATCAAAGAGAACAAAAGGCCTTTCCCAAGATCCCACAGAAGGAAGAGGTGAGGTGAAACCCAGGCAGGTCCTTCTCCCCTTTCGTGGTGTTGGTTTTGCTCAGCGCATGGAAAGCTCAGAGGCCAACGAATGACTGCAAAGCTGCACTTCATTAATATTTTGGTATGAATGCTGCCCAGAGCAGAAATGGCCCCATTTAATAAACCACTTGTTTCCAGGCTGCCAGAGCCTCGTTCTCTCTATTAGCTAAAGCACATTGGCACAGCTTCTGCACCACCAGGATTAGTTTTGTGTTTGTTGTGGCTCCTTGTTCAAAGGATTCCTCTCCCAAAACTACACAGCTCAGCCAGGTGTGAAGTGTCCTGTGCTATCACATCGTGTCACAGCAGGCAGCTGTGCCAGCCACTAAACATGCAGGTGGCACAAGGAAACATCCAAATCCGCTGCTGTGTTGTCACCAGGTGAGACTGGCAGGAATCAGTCCCCGTGATGTGCACACCAGGCCCAGGTTCTGTCAGTGAGGGGCAGAGGGGCAGGTCAGGGGGGCAGAGTGTCACTGAAAGCCAGAACCAGGGGGTTCTGAGCTGCTGGTTCGTGGGATCAAGGTACCCTCAGCCAGTTCACTGACAACACCGAGCTGTGTGGTGCAGTCACATGCTGGAGGGGAGGGATGGATCCAGAGGGACCTGGACAGGCTGGAGAAGTGGGACTGTGCAAACCTCATGAGGTTCAACAAAACGAAGTACAAGGTCCTGCACCCAGGTCAGTGCAATCCCAGGCACACCTGCAGGTTGGGCAGAGAAGGGGTTGAGAGCAGCCCTGGGAGGAGGGCTTGGGGGTGATGTTTGATGAAAAACTCACCCTGAGCCAGCAGTGAGTGCTCGCAACCCAGAAACCCCCCACGTCCTGGGGCTGCATCCAAAGGAGAGTGGGCAGCAGGTGAAGCAGAGGATTCTCCCTCTCTGCTCTCCTGAGACCCCACCTGGAATACTATGTCCAGTTCTGGTGCCCCCAACATAAGAAGGATGTGGAACTATCAGAGCAAGTGCAGAGGAGGCCACAAAGTTGATAAGAGGAGTGGAGCACCTGCCCTATGGAGACAGGCTGAGAGAGTTGGGACTGTTCAGCCTGGAGAAGAGAAGATTGTGTGGAGACCTCACAGCACCTTCCAGTCTGTGAAGGGGCCTACAGGGAAGCTGGAGAGGGACTCTTCCTCAGGAACTGGAGTGACAGGACAAGCAGAAATGTGTTCAGACTGACAGAGGGCAGGGTTAGATGGGATATGAGGCATAAGTTCTTCCCTGTGAGGGTGGTGAGGCCCTGGCACAGGTTGCCCAGAGAAGCTGTGGCTGCCCCATCCCTGGAAGTGTCCAAGGCCAGGTTGGACGGAGCGTGGAGCAACCTGGGATAGTGGGAGGTGTCCCTGCCCATGGCAGGGCACTGGAAGGTCTTGAAGGTCCCTCCCAACCCAAACCATTCCATGATCCTGTGATTCTGTGAACTACAAACCCTCGTCATAGCTTCATCATGCCTACAGGACCTGAGAGATACTTAATCTAACACAGTTCAGCTGTGTGTGGGGAGAGGGTTAGAGGATTTCCTTACCAAAAAAAGCAGTTAAATCCAGTATCCCCTCCTGCTGTCTTTGGAGTTCTAGCCCCACAGCCCCCCCCACACACATACACACCTGTGAGGGGGTTCAGAAGGGCTCCTGCACTACCACACTGGGTGTTACACCTGGTGCTAAGCAGATGCTGTGCTGGCCTCCTCTGCTCCACTTCCTCCACTGTTTGGAGAAATTAGAGCAGCAAACAGCTTTTAAATCTTTTTAACTCCTCCACAGCCAATCCATTCTCAGACCACCTTACAACCAAGCTGCAAGAGCTGTTCTCTCCTTTGCACCAGCATCCAGCTCACACAAATGGTGGGTGACCTTCAGGCACTCAAGTTGACTTATTTCAAGACAAGGAGGAGGGAGCAATCACATCGGCCCAAGGCTGGGCTGTGCAGTGGCCATGGGGCCACACTGTCCCCATCCTCTCAGGGGAGAGGAGTGACAGAACCTAGAGGGGCAAAGGGTGAAGCCAGAGCTGCCAGCTTTGAGAGGGGTTTAGACATCAACAACATCATTTTATTATATAACCAGACAGAAATATGAACTATTTTCACCTTTGTGAGCTGACTCCACAGTGAAGTTCCCTCCCCGGCATTCAACACCTGGATTCTTGGACTGTTTCCTCACAGAGGAGATGCTGAGTTTGCTCAGTCACACTAGTGTATGGCAGGCACCAGCCTGGAGCTGGCTCAGGGATCCTGGTGCCAGGGATCCTGGTGCAGACACGTGTTAACAAGGAACAGCCAGACTGTGCTCACAGAGCCACACCCTTCACTTCTGTGACAGCTGTCTGTACAAGTTTAGAGTCAGAAGCATGACTTCAGGATCTCCACTTTTTATGTCAAGAGCTTGGAGGAAGCAGTCCAATGCCTCCTGGAGTTTCCCATCATTCTGAAGTTTCTTCCCATTGTGTACCAAGGTGTCGTAATCTCCCACAGCAGGAGAGGAATTCTGACCAACCTCCTTTTCAGAGACGATTTCCTGGGTGAAGTAGTCGATCTGCTCACCCGACTGGAGCTCAGGGTCACCAGTGGATTCCTCCTGAGACGACTCCGTCTCCTCCTCCTCAGACTGCTCAGATTCCTCGCTGTCTACATGGGAGGACTCTTCACCTGTATCAAGTGTTTCTCCAGTAGGTTCTTCTTCAGTCTCAGCAGATTCCCCAGTGCACTCCTCAGCTTCTTCTTCCACAAGCTTGTCTTGCTCCTCATCAGTGTCATCATCACCTTCTTCACCAGTGGTTTCCATGATTTCCCCAATATCCTCCACCTCATCTACTACTTTGTTGATGAACGAGCGCCTGGAAGCATTAGACCTGCTACCACTGTTACTTAGTTGAGGAGAAAAGATGGCTCTAGCTCTGCTTCTGTCACATTTAGGGGTGGACGCACTAATTCCTTCCCGAAGTTGGTGCCCAAGGCTGTCCAAGGGAGAGGAGGGCACTTGTTCTGGCTGTTCTTCACTCTCGCTGTCTGAAGCAATTCTGTTTAAGCATTTCCTCCTACTAAAAGTAAAGAGACCACTGCTTTCCTCCAATGCTTCACTCCCTTGCAGGGAGGCATTTGGCTCTTCCTCATCTGCGGGACAGGGTTTGCCACGGTTACTGGTCTCACTCAGCCGACTTTTGTTTGGAGATTCTTTGGTTGGAGACTGACACAAACTTTCTGCCTGGAGTTGGAAGCTCTCCTTGGGGTGTTCCACTGACCTTTCCCTATTTGAGGCATCCTTCCATCCCTCTTCAGACTCCTCCAAGACCAGATTGAAGTCAACTTGATCCTGGAGAGAAAGCACAGATGTGTCCTCCAAGTTGTCTTCCAGCACACGAGACTTGCAGAGTCCACCGTGGATTTCTGGTGTGACATCTGATAAGATCAGCACTGTGGAAGTGGAAGCCGCCTCAGGAACGTCCTTCTGCTCTGTCCCCAGGGCAGTGTGCGGGTCAAGTACCTGAACTGACATTTCTGCATCCCTTTCAGGATTGTCAGCTACGTCAGACTCGTTGGAGGAATGCTGATGATGCCCAGACAGGTCATTCCCTGCCTTAGCCAAGCTGTCTGAATGTACATGGGAATGCTGTTTCGCTTGGAGGCTCCGACTGTCTTTCTCAAGTGCAGGGGATGATGATATAATGCTGGATTCAGGATTTTGCTCAGATTCTTGTATATCACCTTGTTCTGCTACCTTGTTGGTATTAAGCAGCTCTGTCTCCATACTTGACACGTCTTGTGGCAGTTTCTGCTCACTCGAGTCATCAATAGTTAGAGTTGTCATTTTGGAGCTGACATCAAGTACCTGGACCTCCTCATCCTCTGTAAAGTCAATAAATTTGTCTTTTTCATGTGCATCAGCTACCGGTGGTGAAATAAAGTGATTTTTGTCATTCACCCCCGGAGACAATTTCTTGGGTCCAGAAACCAATCCTGGTGGTCTTTGCCACTCCTCTGCACAGGCATTTCTGATCCCCTCCATCCTCTGGTCTCTGAGCTGGGACTCCAGCTGGACCAGCTCATGGGCTTTCTGTACCCTCCGCTGGATGTACTCATGGGCTTCCTCGCTCTCCACTTGCTCCTCGTGAGCAGTGTCCTTCGTGTAGATCAAGTTGTGGTCAGAAATGCCAAACATTGCCAGCGAGTGCAGGTAAGCAATGTGCTCGTCCAGCTGCGTGTCGGACTTCCTCTGCATGGCGTGCAGGGACTGCAGCTGGATCTGAGTCACAGACGTCCGAGTATCTTCCAGCGTGAAGAGCTCCCTTAGTTCCTGTTTGGAGAAATAGCGGAACGGGTTCTTTTTGTCACCAGTGGTCTGTCTGATTAACGAATCCTTAAACACCTGCCGCCTGTATATCTTCTCTTCCACGGTGCCGCAGGTGATCAGCCTGTAAATCACTACGTTCTCTTTCTGCCCGATCCTGTAAGCTCTGTCCACAGCCTGAGCGTCGGTCGCTGGATTCCAGCTGGGATCAAAGATCACCACTCGGCTGGCTGCTGTCAAGGTTATGCCGACGCCCCCAACCTGCGTGGTGAGCAGGAAGACGGAGTAGTCCGTGTTGCTCTGGAAGGCATTGATGCGCTTCTCCCGCTCCGTCAGGTGGGTCACCGTGCCATCAATGCGCAGGATGCGGAATTGTCGGCGAGACAGGACGAGCTCTATGATATCCAGCATCTTCCTCGACTGTGAGAACACCAGGGTTCGGTGTCCCTCTTCTCGCAGTCGTTCGAGCAGTCCCACGAGGAACTGCATCTTCCCAGACTCCTGGATCATGGTCTCATCAGAGAGATGATCTATTTTATTTGCACCTGAAAGCATATCTCCTTCGCTCCTATGATCCTGCTCAAAGTACTCCTGCTCTTCCAAGCCCAGCTGGATACAGGCTCTTGCAGACAGAAGCCTGGGGTGGTCACAGAGCTTCTTCAGGACTGTCAGCTCAGCCAAAGGTGATCGGGTTGTCATCAGCACTTCCTTCACGTGATCCAGGCAGAGAAAGTTCCTGTATATTTCTTCCTGTACCGGTGCCAGATACACCCACACAACAAAGTCATTTTTCCTAGTGAGAGATGGCATGACAGGAGCCCTGTTCTCACTTGGAAGAGGAGCATCTGCTTTATCAGCAGAATAGCTTTTGATGTCTTCCTTAGTTCTTCTGAGGAAATAGGGCTTTATAATGGCCATGAGATTCTCTGATATCTTTAGCCCCAGCACTTTCTCACCTGGAGTTGCATCCTTCTCCCTCGCCCTGGTAATGGGATTCTCATATTCCATTTTAAAAGTTTTGGCTGTTCCCAGGAGGGAGCCTTGGCAGGCAAAGTCAAACAAGGACCACATTTCCCGCAGGTTGTTCTGCACGGGGGTGCCCGTGAGCAGGATGCGGTGCCGGGCTGGGATTGCGTACGCGCACTTCGTCGTCTTGTTTGATGAGCACTTGATCTTATGTGCTTCGTCAAGAATGACGTAGTCCCAGACAAACTCCTCCTCGTGGCGACTGGCCAGCTGCTTCCAGTTGTTAATGAGCATATTGTAGCTCGTAATGACGATGCCGTTCTTCCTCTGGACCCTCTCCAGGTTCCTGGTGCGCTCCGCCTTGCTGGAGCCGTGGAACTCCTTGACACGCAAGCCGGGGGTCCAGCGAGCGAACTCGGCCAGCCAGCTGCTGACCAGGGTGGTGGGCATGATGAGCAGGACATGCTGGATGAGCTCAGCGTCGAACATACCCGAGAGGAAGGCGATGACCTGGATGGTCTTGCCCAGGCCCATGTCATCTGCCAGGATGCCACCTGGCCTGCCCTCCCGGTGCAGGCGGTACAGGAATGCAACGCCTTCCCGCTGGTGCTGGAACAGCTTCTCGTGCATCTCCCCGTAGATCAGCAGGCCGCTGCCGCACACATCCACGAAGCCTTCATCCTCCTCCTCCTCCTGCTCTTCCTGCTCGGCCGCCGCCGCTGCCAGCGCCTCCTCCACCCGCTGCATGCGGCCCCGCAGCTTCTCGCTGGGGCGGATGGCGGCCGCCAGCCGGAACAGCCGCAGCGCCTCTTCCAGGTCCCCGTCGCCCGCCGCCGCCTTCGCGCTGGTCACGAACCTGCGGGAGTCACCGTGAGCACCGCGCGCCCGGGCCCGGCCCGCACCCGGGGGAGGTTGGCCCACCACCGCCACCCCCGCTCTGGGGCCGCCTCCGCCCGCCCCGGAGCCCCTCGCCCCCGCCGCTCAGTCCCCCCACACCGCCCGGCCCGGCCCGGCCCCGCTCACCCCCGGTACCGCTGCTCCTCGTCCGCGGCCTCCCCCGGGGCCGGGCTCGGGGCCGCCATGGCGCTTCAAACCCGGCTCTTCCCGTCCTGCACCGCGTCACATGCAAATCACCGCGGCTCGCAGCCAATCAGCACGGGGGCGGGAGCAAAGGGGCGTGGCTGCGCTCTGCCCCGGCGGGGCGGGGGACTCCGGGACGGGCGCCGGTCCCGTGCCGTCCCCGTGCCGTCCCCGTGCCGTCCCCGCCGTGTGGGAGGCGAGGCGAGGCGAGGTGCGGGGCACCCGGCGGGAGTCCGGAGGACTCGCAACTGCCCTCGTCCCCGGTGCGCTCCCGCTTCCCGCCGCGCTACGGGTGCAGCCCCGGGACCCTCCGCCTCGGTCAGCAGGCGGTGGGGTCCGCCCGCCGGCAGGGGGCGCGGGGGGCGGCGGCGGGCGGCGCTCTGCCCCGCGCCCGTGACCGGCGCGGAGTCGCCGGGAGACCGAGCGCCGCCATGGAGGCGCGCGCCGCGGGCCGCGGCCTGCTCGTATCCACCGGGAGCGGCGGGGCCGGGCGGGCGGGCGGGGCGGGGCTCCGTGCGGAGGTTTCCTTAGCTGCGGAGCAGAGCGTTACCGGCGCAGAGGTGCGGGCCGGGCGGCGGGAACCCTGTGTGCTCGGCCTGGCGCGGCGGGGCGGCCGCTACGGGTGAGTGCGGGCCGGGCGGGGATGGGGCGCGGGGGTTCGGCCCGGCCCGGCCCGCCTCGGTCGGTGCCACGGCCGCCGCGACTCTCGGGAGCCGAGCGTGCCTCCGGCGGTCTCCACTCATCCTCCGGCCGTGCCTTGCCGGGGCTCCTCCGGCCGCCGGAGCCGCAGGGTTGGAGTTTGTGTGGTTCTGGATCTGCCCCGTGCCAGGCAGAGTTGAACAGCTCTTTACTTCTCCCCGCGGGCACCCGCGTCCTGCGCGGTCCCACCTGTGTTGCTTTTTCCTTGTTCCTTCCCCATCGGTGCAGCGATAGCGATCAAACACCGTGTCTGTGTACACACGGCTCCCGCGGCTGTTTGTGTGTGTGTATGTGAGAGAGCCGGGCGTTGCTGCCGGGTTTTTACAAGCCTTTTTTTTTCTGTCTGCAGGATCGTTATCCACTCACAGGAGAAAGAAAACTCCGATCCGGATTATATTCCCATCAACAGCCGCTTTAAGTGTGTGCAAGGTACTGACTGCTGGGGGGAGGGTGGGAATCCACTGCTGTTCGTCCACAACCCCAAATTTAGTGGTGTTTCCTGACCTGCCTCCTGAGCAGGTGTGGGCTGTATGCTTCCCCGTGAGACTGCAACTCACAGTTCATGGAATCCCCTTGTTCCTCATCCAAGTGGTTTGTCATTCCATGTCAGCATGCAGTTGTGAGGAACTTGGCTGGCCCCGGTGCGTGGTGGGCTTGCAGGGGCTGGAATTTGGTGTCTAGTGGTGTCTGTCTCTCTGGCTTCTCTGTTGTGTCGAGAGTTGGGAACTTTTGCCTGATTCCTGCATGTTCAGATCTAAGTTTCCATAAGTTCTGGCAAGCTCTCAGCTCCCAACAGTTGGATGGGGAAGGGCTTTAGGCCTTGGCTTGGAAGGACTTAAATAGCAGCAAGTGTCCTTGGGGCAAATCCTTGTCAGGAATAAAAGCAACTTTAGCCAGATTGGCTCATTCCCTTCTGGGCAGCTCAGCGAGAATCTACCCCTAGTCTTGCACTGTAGAGAAGCTCTGAAGTTCCTTGTCATGTTGATCTTTCCCAAAGTACCTGCACTGATGGGGAAAAACCATCCAGGTGTGTGAGAACTCTGTGTTGGGAATCTCCCTGGGACACTTGGCAGGTGGTGACTGTCCAGGTTCTCTGTGCCAGAGCCGTTAGGAATGTACATAAATTAGAGCTGTTTGTTCCTCTTTCAGGACTCTTTTGTGGTTTGTAGCAAGCAATGTGATTATTTAAGTCCTCGGTTACTGCAGCATCCAGAATGAGCTGTCCTGATCATGTTTTTCTCTTTTCCAGAGGCAGAAGAAACTCTGCTGATTGATATAGCTGCAAACAGTAAGTTTTATAAGGGCAGTGGTGTGGCTGACCTGTCAGGGAACAGCTGCCTGATGCTTGTTTCACCTTCCCAGTCTTCCCCCAGGCTCTGTGTTTGTCCTCTGCTCAAGCCGGGGTTGTTTTCCCTTTGATGTTGTCATTTGGCTCTGCCCATAACCAGTCGGTTACTGCAGCGGACAAGGCCTGAAATGCAAATGATTGAAACATTTGCAATTTTTCATACTGCTTTTGGAGCTCCTCTCTGATAGATTGCAGTAGGGAGAAGGATTCCTAAAGCCAGAAGAACCCCAAGCAGGGTGGGGGGATTTCAGAAGCACAGGGAGCGTAACTTAGGTGCAGGTTTCCATCAGAAACAACATCTGGAAGTTGTGTGTAAAGCCTGGTGACTGACTGTGAGCCGGCCTGGGCTGACTCTGTGAGTGTGTTTGAAGCAGGCTGCAAGGTCCGGATACAGGGCGACGAGACACCGGAGCGGCTCTTTGAGATCCCCGACGAGGAGCGCTGCTTGGGATTCCTGTCTGAAGTGCAGAGCATCCAGGAGGGTGAGCAGAGCTGCACCTCTGTGTGTGTGAAATCCTCTGACTTGTCAGCAGTTTCTGACAGGGTGGGGTTTGTTCCAGCCCACCTGAAAGCTTCTCCTGAACCCAAGGACGGAGCCATCTGGCATCAGGTGGAGCAGAGCCTTCCGGGTCTGTTGCAGGCCTCTCCTCCAGGTACAGTTGGCTTTGCTCAGGGGCTTGTCCAGTGCTGGGGTGCTTGGGGTGGGACCTGGATCTGACCCTGCCCTTGGCAGCCTGGCCTCTGCTCCCTGGTCTGTTCATTCCTTCCTGAGTGCTCTTTTTGCCTTAGTTTGTGTGTAGTAAGCTCCCTGCTGCCTTGACTTGTGATTAGTGCCCCTTTCTCCCATTCCCTGAGTCACACAGTTGATAAATTCCTATTATCATTTGGGTTTTTTTGCTTTCTGTGGAGTTACAATTTTTCTGTCTTGATCAGAGCTGTTTCAGATTGTTTCTCAGGGCATTGTGCTTGGATTTTTCATTACAGGAGCTCTGGGGTTTGAGGATGACTTCAACACTCTGAGCCTAGAAGAGAAAAGGAATATGCAAAACCACCAAGCGGGATCTCGGCGGGAGCCCCCACCTCCTCCCGTTCCTCAGAACAGACAGTAAGTAACACAGGGCATCTGTTCCCTTTTTTACTTCTCTTCCTAGACAGCAGAACAAGTTCTAGTGTTGTTTTTGCCTCCTTCCTAGATTTCCCCGAGAGAGAGAAGGTACATCCAGAGACCAGCCCAAAGTGACCAACACGATGCGCAAGATGTTTTTGCCCAGCACGCAGTCAGGGCAGAGAGAGGGTCTCATCAAACACGTGCTGGCCAAGAGGGAGAAGGCCTACATCAACTGGCACAACTTCAGGTGAGAGTGGGGAGGAAGGGGCAGAGCTGTGGGATCTCTGCCGTGAGCTCAGTTCTCGCCCAGGTTTATATCCTGGCAGCTTCTGATGGATGGCGGCTCAAGTGGCCAGGGAGGATGGTACAGCCTGAAAGTCACCAAGTGCCCATGGTGCAGCTGCTCCTATTGTGTCTTCTCCCTGTGTGTGTCAGATCTCCTGAGCCTCAATGAGGCTGGAGCAGTTGGGCAGAAAGGGTGAAGGTAGATGTCCCACCACACTGTCCTGATTTTGCCCTACATGACATGGTGTTAAATGACCTAGATGTTCTCTGGTGGAATGTCTTAGTCCAGGAGGAGTGTCACTGGGAGTGACCCACACCTGGGAGAACTTTTTGAGGAGTGGCTGGAGGGGCTCAGCCTGGAGAAAAGGAGGCTCAGGGGGAGACCTCACTCTACAACTCCCTGACAGGAGGGTGGAGCCAGGTGGGGGTCCGGCTCTGCTCCCAGGGAACAAGTGACAGGACAAGAGGAAACAGCCTCAAGCTGTGCCAGGGGAGGTTCAGGTTGGACATAAGGAAGAATTTCTTCGCAGAGAGAGCTATCAGACATTGGAAGGGGCTGCCCAGGGAGGTGGTGGAGTCCTCATCCCTAGAGGTGTTCAAGGAACGACTGGATGAGGCACTCAGTGCTCTGGGCTGGGTGACAAGGAGGGGGTTGGTCACAGGTTGGAATCGATGACCTGGGCAGTCTTTTCCAACCTCAGGGATTCTGGGATCCTGTGAATTTCAGTTCCCCCTGGCTGGCACAGCCCCACGCAGGGGCAGCTCACAGTGTGTCAGTGTGTGCTCACAGTGTCTGCTCCCAGCCAGGACACCGCTGTGCTGCTGCGGTTTTCGTTGTGTTTTCTGACAGTTCAGCTGCTTCTGTGTTGTAGGTTTTTTGTGGGAACGTGGAATGTGAACGGGCAGTCTCCTGACAGCTTCTTGGAGCCGTGGCTGGTGTGTGACACGGAGCCTCCGGACTTCTACTGCATTGGGTGAGTGGCAGCAACCTGGATTTACTAATGGGACTGGTTCCTTGGGATCCTGGAGGGCTGTGTTTGGTTTAGGTTCTTGTCATGCTCCCAGAGGCTGCACAGAGCTGAGTTGTGTTGCACGGGAGCTGTCTGAGGGCAGAGAGCTATCAGATGAGGCAGAGGATTGGGTTAAACAAGGCTGGTGTGACATAACCAATTTTCCTGGAGGCATCTGCAGAGCTCCGTGGTTGTCCTCTGCCTAAAGGGGTGCTTCCCAGGGGAGAGGGTTGCTAGGGGGTTATGGGTAGGGTCTCAGAGGCACCATGGGGAAATTGTGCTGCTTTATTTAGCAAGTGGCCATAAAGAGCTGCTCCTCCAAGGGCTGTTGCTGGAGGGTTTCGCATTCCTGTAGGAAGAGGGGGATGTGCATGAGGGCTGAAGGTGCTAAGCTCTTGGGTTTCCAGGTTCCAGGAGCTGGACCTCAGCACAGAGGCTTTCTTCTACTTTGATTCTACAAAGGAGCAGGAGTGGCTGGCTGCTGTGGAGAGGGCCCTGCATCCTCAGGCCAAGTACAAGAAAGTGAGTTCTGCTCAGTGGCGTGTCTTGTCATGGAGCTGGCACGATGGGAAGGAAACGGGAAAGGGGCTTCCC